TTTTTACATGCTCTGGAACTGAACGCTGCGGTGTGAACTAGAGCCCAAAATCCCATTGGAATACATTGGACGCAGTTTTGATCCGGTCTGTAACTGCTCTGCTCCTGGAACGCGCTTGGTGTGAACAAGGTCTTACTGAGACAGAAATCCAAACCTTATAGAAACGCACACTGAACGTGCAACGGAAGCCAAAACGTATAAATAAAGTGGAGAGGGATTAGAACATCTGTCAGGTTTTTATTGCTGTCTGTGTCCCTATTAGGCCCCATTCACACTGCACGATTCGCAAATCGTGCGTCTGTCGCGCGATTTGCATTTTGCACGATATCGCGCAAATGCTGGCATTGAGCAAGCTGGAATCGCGGCAAAATCCGCTCCAAAAAGGGTCCTGCTGTAGCGATGCACGACCCGCGACAGTAGGACCCTTTGCCCCATTGCCAAGCATTGGAGAACGATATCGCGCGGTAAATAGCCGCGATATCGTGGGAATTACCGCGCGATAAATCGCTCAATGTGAACGGGGCCTTAAGATCACCATACACGTTACAAAATGACTGTACAATCAGCTTTAGGTTTAATCAAAGCCATATAATATGAGGAGCGGCCTAGTCTATCCAATCAGCTTGTATCACTCAGCCAGGCCCCTGCACTACATAGTTGATGGTACATCTGAAGCTGGCCATACACTTTACAACCCTCGTCAGACTTTCGTCTTGCGATAGTTGTAAAGTAATAAAAAAAACGTACGACCTGCCCATCTCGGACAGGCGGATCAATCTTGCGATCATCGAAAGCCCGCCCTGCTGAGGGGCGGGCTTCCGATGACCGCAATGCTGAAGGGGCAGCGTGCGCACACCGGCCCGTTCGGCATTTGTCTCCCGAGCATGCCACAAACCAGCCGAAAATCGTAAGATTTTCGGCTTGTTTTCGAACATGCTCCTTAGACAAAAGACGTGCGACCGTACAGTAGAATCGGTCGCACGGCTTCATTCACCCCGCTCGATTATCGTACGTTTGCGGGATTTCCCGTGATTCTCGTACAAGAATCGTGCAGTGTATGGGCACCTTTAGATTTGCCAACAGGTATGTAATGCCTGGGGCTGCCTGACTGGATACAAGTGATTGGGTTGGGTGTCACCTGGTCTCAGGACGCCCCTGGTTAGGCTGGGCCTCATATTACATCGTTATTGGAAGTCTAGACTTGATTGCACAGAGATTGTAGGGCCGGGTTGTAACATGCATGGTGGCCCTTACGGGAGATTCTCCCTTTCCATCTGTCCTGGTGACTGTTATCACTGAAAGTGAAGCAGGAACAGACCAGAAATCATCCAGTGGGGACACCAGGGGTTTCCCTCTCACTAAGGCCCCATCCAGACAGACGGTCCAATCAGCTCCGCCCATCCGTTTTTCAGATGGACCCAATCAGATGGCCAATGTAAAGGTGCCCATATACCTGCCGATTATGGTACGATAACCCGCGAGTGATCCCGCGATCGTACGATAATCGGCAGGTGTATGGGCAGCGTGCGACCCCCTTCTACTGTAAGGTCGCGCGACTTTCCTCTTCCGAGCACGCTGGAAAACCTGCCGAAAATCCAAGTTGGTGGCGTGGTCGGAAGACGAATGCCGCACAGGCAAGCGCACACTGCCCGCTCAGCACTGCAATCATCGGAAGCCCGCCCCTCAGCGATGATCCTAAGTACGATCTGCCTGTACAAGATGGGCAGATCGTACGAAATTTGAATCGCCTTACAACCATCGCACAACGAAAGTCGTGCAATGGTTGTAAGGTGTATGGGCGGCTTTAGTCTCTGGGCAGCCGGATCGACACAGACATGTGTCCATTTACACCCGCTTACCCTCTCCTCTGGCCAGGTCCGGACAACAAATGGAACAGTGTTCTGTGTCGCTGGACCTGATCCTACCGGGTCGGGGGTAATCTGATGTAAACGGTCCATTCACATCCGACTCCCCATAGGCCATCATGGGGTGCGGTCATTGCAGTTCTTTCCTCCATCACGTCTAAGGCCCCGTTCCCACTGCGCGATATGCAAATTGCGCGTTTGTCGCGCGATTTGCATATTGCGCGATATCGCGGGAATTACCGCGCGATAAATCGCTCAATGTGAACAGGGCTTAATACGAGTCTATCTGACCTGACGATGCCAAGGGACATTCCACGAGTCATCACATTCTATACACGGTGTATAGGACATGAGGAGGCTGCAGCGGTCTGAGGTCCCCGAGTCATCACATTCTATACACGGTGTATAGGACATGAGGAGGCTGCAGCGGTCTGAGGTCCCCGAGTCATCACATTCTATACACGGTGTATAGGACATGAGGAGGCTGCAGCGGAGGAGGAGACAGGCAGGGAGCGTTGTCACAGCCAGCCAGCTTGGAGGATCGAGTGAGTCTAACTTTGCCATTTTCCTCCTTAGACCAAAACAAGCAGTTAACCCTTACAGGGTGGGGTATACCCACTGCAGGGGGTAATAACAATTGTGCCCGGAGTTCTTCTTTAATGACTGGGTGACAGCGGCAGCCCACATGTAATCATACATGGTACCTGTGCTTTGGGATAGAGGCTTGTAGCTGGACAGCTGCCATGTCTATGTGTAGGGACTGTGTAGGGACTGTGTAGGGGTACACGTGCCCAGTGCAGTGTGATAAGAATGAAGTCACAGTGAACAGACGTGTGTACAGTACAAGAGAGCGGCAACTCCTCTTCCCTTCAGCCCATTGCGTGTATGTGACTTGTATGTGATCAGGATACACACAATGACACGCCTGATACTGATGTATAGTCACCGACCACTGGAATGTGGATGTGTGAGAAGTGTGCAGGAAACGTCTTCCGGACCAGGCCACCCAATCACATTCTCCATTTCCTTTTCACACCAGCACTGCAGGAATGACAGTTAGAAGCTGATTGGTCGCTGTGGGCAACCAGAAAACAAATTCCTGTATTACACTTTCCGCACATCAACCATTCAACTGAAAATACCTTCCGTGACTTCCTCGTTACCCCATGATTACTAAGAACAGCACGGCTTCCCCCTGACATGGTCACAGCCTAGGGGGCACACACATCCGTGACCCTGTCACCCATAGCAACCAGATATTACCCCATGATTACTAAGAACAGCACGGCTTCCCCCTGACATGGTCACAGCCTAGGGGGCACACACATCCGTGACCCTGTCACCCATAGCAACCAGATATTACCCCATGATTACTAAGAACAGCACGGCTTCACCCTGACATGGTCACAGCCTAGGGGGCACACACATCCGTGACCCTGTCACCCATAGCAACCAGATATTACCCCATGATTCTGTCACCCTTAGCAACCAGATAGTACCCCATGAAGCTGTAAGCCATAGCAACCAGATGTCACCCCATGAAGCTGTAAGCCATAGCAACCAGATATTACCCTTCACCAGTGTGGTAGTAAAACAGTGTTGCGTTCCGTTACTGTACATTATTCTACAAGTTCATAACTAACTCCACAGACCTATGTAGCACAAATGTAAGTGATGCTGTAACCCACAGCAACCGGATATTACCCTTCATTAGCTGGCATTCAAAGAGTTTTCTGTTACTGTGTTACTGTACTACTGTATTACTGTACTGGCTTATGTATTCAGGTAGCACAAACATTAGTGATTGTGTCACCCATAGCAACCAGATATTACCCTAGGATTCTGTCACCCATAGCAACCAGATATTACCCCAGGATTCTGTCACCCATAGCAACCAGATATTACCCCAGAATTCTGTCACCCATAGCAACCAGATATTACCTTAGGATTCTGTCACCCATAGCAACCAGATATTACTCCATGATTCTATCACCCATAGCAAACAGATATCACCCCATGATTCTGTCACCCATAGCAACCAGATATTACCCCATGATTCTGTCACCCATAGCAACAAGATATTACCCCACGATTCTGTCACCCATAGCAACCGGATATTACTCCACTATTCTGTCACCCATAGCAAGAAGATATTACCCCATGATTCTGTCACCCATAGCAACCAGATATTACCCCATGATTCTGTCACCCATAGCAACAAGATATTACCCCACGATTCTGTCACCCATAGCAAACAGATATTACTCCACGATTCTGTCACCCATAGCAACAAGATATTACCCCACTATTCTGTCACCCATAGCAACCGGATATTACTCCACTATTCTGTCACCCATAGCAAACAGATATTACTCCACGATTCTGTCACCCATAGCAACAAGATATTACCCCATGATTCTGTCACCCATAGCAACAAGATATTACCCCATGATTCTGTCACCCATAGCAACAAGATATTACCCCATGATTCTGTCACCCATAGCAACAAGATATTACCCCATGATTCTGTCACCCATAGCAACAAGATATTACCCCACTATTCTGTCACCCATAGCAAACAGATATTACTCCACGATTCTGTCACCCATAGCAACAAGATATTACCCCATGATTCTGTCACCCATAGCAACCAGATATTACCCCATGATTCTGTCACCCATAGCAACAAGATATTACCCCATGATTCTGTCACCCATAGCAACCGGATATTACTCCATGATTCTGTCACCCATAGCAAACAGATATTACCCCAGGATTCTGTCACCCACAGCAACAAGATATTACCCCAGGATTCTGTCACCCACAGCAACAAGATATTACCCCAGGATTCTGTCACCCACAGCAACAAGATATTACCCCAGGATTCTGTCACCCACAGCAACAAGATATTACCCCAGGATTCTGTCACCCACAGCAACAAGATATTACCCCAGGTTTCTGTAAGATATTACCCTTCTTCAGCTGGGCAATGAAAGAGTTGCTTCCTGTATGTGTTCTATGGAGCCAATGGTGACAGCGATGGACTAAGCCCCCCCAGGACCCAGCAGACAGACTGTCGTTGTAACTTTTGTGATTAATGTCCCCCTATGTGGAGGGGATCGGGCGGCCTCTCACCTGCAGAGTCTTGGAGTAGCCGTTCCTCTTGGAAAGTCCATTGACATGTGTTCGGGGCGGCTTGTGTATTCCATTGCAGTGTGCAGGCTCAGCCATCGCGGAGAAGGTGTCGGCAGCAGCAGCCGTCGCGCACTCATGAAGCAGATACATGGAGCGGGGCAGCCACAGGTAGCCAACTAGTCTGTCAGGCTTATCCAGTGGAAGGGTGTGGCGACACAGGGAGGAGGAAGAGGACTAGCCCTTCCTTATCCCACATCTCGCTCCCCCTGTGAGAGTAACTGTCACCTCTGCACACCTAAAGCCCGGACGTCTGTGTACAGATCACTTTGTATAACAGCAGCGAGTGCCGCCTGTATGTCAGGGCTGCCGGGCAACAGAAGGACTGGGGAGACGCAAGTTCATGATCACAACCATCGCTGATGAACTCTCTGTGCCTCTCGCTAGATCCAATATTGTAGGTCCGATGTACAGACAGACCAATGTACTCCGACCCCCATAGACTGAACGCCGAGGTCTAACATTTTTATTTTTATTATTATTTCTTATCTTTCACTTTTTATTTTTATTTATTTTAATATTTTTTTACTTTTTATCAATTTTTATTTTATTCTTTTCATTTAAAGGCTTATTTCACCTGTTGTAAAATTACAACAATGCATATTTAATAATATAAAAAAAAAAAGCACTGCAACTGTGATCACAAGATCAGGGCTGCAGAGCTCAGGCTTCAGCACGTTCTCATACAGGCAGAGCTCCATACTGATGGATGTATGGAGTATTAGTTAGGAAAGAAGGGGAAGGATGGCTGGATGGGATTAAAGTGACATTAGAGGAAACATTTTTCCACCTCCCCCCAATGTTAACCAGTTGACATCCGCGGTGTTAAACCCCCTTCCCATCCAGGCCATTTTTCAGTATTCAGCGCTGCGGTACTTTAAACGCTCGCTAGCAGTAGATATATGCACAAAAACCGGAGGGTTTAATAACCCTTAAAGGTAAGTCCTGACACTAACATTGGGTGGGGAAAAAAATAGCCTTTAATGTCACTTTAAAGCAGGGGTCTCAAAGTACCGGCCCGCAGGCCAACTCCGGCCCGCGAGCCAATGTGACAGGAGAGGGCGCTATAGAGGAGGCATCGGCTTATGCGGCTCTGCTCCCTCCAGTGCCGCCTCACTTCCTCTAGTGCTGGCTTCATTGTCACCGTTGATTCTCTCCTGCCTCTCCCGTGGCTCTTCAAGTTCCCCCCTTATGCCACCACCAAGAAGAACTATGGGGTAAGTGGTTTTCCCCATAGTTCTCCTTAGGGTCACGGGAGGACACAAACTAGCGTCCTCCTATGACCCAAAGCTTAGTATATAAGCTACAGCTCGCAGTATACTGAGACCGCCGCAGCCGGGACGGATCCTGACATTACTGTCGAGATCTTCCCAGCTGTGTGAGTGACAGCTAGATAGGCAGAGCCATCTGCAGGAATCCCAAAGCAGGGCTAAATGTAGAAAACAACTACCCGCCCCGTGCCCCGAACTGCGTTCCACACCCCCTGCCGCCCCAAGGCTGTGTCTCGGTGGCCTTGTGGGAGATCCGGCCCTGGGTGCATTTAGTTTAGCTGAGTTTAGAGAACGTAGAGTTCTGTGCGTCCAGGATCTGATTAAAATCTCCAACCACAGCTTAATGCTTGTAAACGCACGTGAATTGCATGTAAACCGGCTGGAAGCTCTAAACACAGGAGAAAGTGATCTGGGAAGCAAAAAGTTGGTTAGACTTCCCAGATAATTTCTGCAAAAAGATGATCTAAGCACAGGAGTGCCAATGTGAATGTGGCATGACAGTTATATCAAAGTCAAAATGTTTGTAAGCTATTTCATATTGCTGCTTAAATTACTTACAATGGATGCTGCTCCTTGATTTTTTAAAGTTTTTTTGTTTCCTGCAGAACCAGCTGCACCCCTGAGCACTGGCCCTGATATCCTGTATTAGGGTGGCTCCTTTCCCTTGCAGGGTCCTATGGCGCCACCCTTGTGTGTGCTAGTAAGCTGTGTGTGTCTCTACAAAACACACAGCAAGGCAAGCCTCTCCCCCTTTCCCTGCTCCCCACTCCTCCCGACTTCAAGCTAGTAGATGGGCAGCTTCTGTGCTCTCTCTTGTCCTTGAGGGAAGTTTAGGGATGCTGAGAGAGTTGGAACTGTTTGGAAACATGATGATTGTAAGGGCTTAGGTAAACATTTATAGAAATACTTTGCTGGGCCATGTATATTTGTTTAAACTGGATTTATGACTGACTCACAGAAGCGAGCTTAACAACACACACAGGAACCATGGGGAACAAAAGTAGCCTTCCTCCAGAAGGAAGGACAGGGCCAGCATGAATTCTAGACATGTGCGATTCATTTTGTTCCCAATTAAAAATGTGCACGAATATCAGCAAATTCCGACATTTGGATGCATCCGAATTCCTGAATGAAAGAAATAATGAATCCGAGCGTATCCAAATTGTCTGATAACGAAATTTTCGAATGCATCCGATTTTTCCCCGAATGTCATACAGAATGAACTTGTATTGTTAAACGTTAAAATAGATTTAAAAAAAAAAGTGTAGAACCCCCTCCCCAATTCTTACCAGACCCTTTAGGTCTGGTAGGAATTTTAGGGGGTGCCCCAATGCCAAAAACACACAAAAAAATCTCTTACCAGACCCTTGATCTGAGCAGCAGCCTGGCAGAGCAGGAAAGGGGTGGGGGGGGGGATGAGCGTGTGCCCTCCCCTCTCCTGCACTGCCACATGCCCTCGACATGGCAAAGCACCTAATCCTCATGTCGTTGATGACAAGGGCCTCTTTCCCACAACCCTGGTGCCGTGCAGGGTCTGGGGGCTCATAAGAATCTGGGTGCCTCCTTTCATAAAGGGGACACCCAGATGCGGCTCCCCGTGAATGAGTAAGGGGTAGTTGTTATCCCTACTCATTCACCAGATAAACAGTAAGCCCTCGTTCACACCTGAACGTTTTGTAGCGCGTTCTACGCTCGACGAACGCTCTACAAAACGCTCAAAAATATAAATCCCATTGTAGTCAACGGTCTCGTTCCCACCTTGGCGTATTTCCGCCCGTCAACTACAAAACGGCCCACGCCTGAAAAGGTACAGGTACTACTTTGGGCCGTTTTGTTGCGCGTTTCCATTGGGATACAGCCAAGTAGCCTTCGTAAACGCACGATGGTCGCGCGACTTTTTTACCGCGAATCGCGGTAAAAAAACGCGCGACAGGCGCGCATATGCAATACGCCTAGGTGTGAACAAGACCTTAAATTGTAAATACACACACCACACCATAACAAAATCCTTTATTTGAAAAATAAAGTGTCCATCAATGTGACTTGTCAATCACGTCATCCAGCGATGTAGATCCATGTCAATCACCATGGACGACGGCATCTAACTCGTTGAAAGAAAAAATTCCTGCAGCTCACCGACATATCCTATCCCGACAAACACCGCCGCAAAATGATAGCTCTGACCCATGTCAACAAATGGGCAGAGCGAGACAGGACTTCACGAGACTTGTTCCGCCCCTTTGTTGACATTCGGAGCAGAGCTCTAATTCTGCGATGAGAGTTGTTGGGGATCTCTTGTGTCGGAGGGCATCGGGTATTTTCTCTTTCGGCGAGTTGGCTGTCATCCATCCTGATAAAAGGGGCGCACCCAGATTCAGATAAGCCCCCCTGCCCCCAAGACCCCCACAACCACTGAGCCAGGGTTGTGGGGAAGAGGCCCTTGTCCTCATTGACATGGGGACAAAGTGCTTTTCCAGGGGGTCCCCCCTCCTCACTAAGCACCCTCTCCATGTTGAGGGCATGTGTCCTGGTATGGTGCAGAAGGGGGGGGGGGGG